GGGGTTTGGGTGGGGCTGCTACCCCCAGCAAGCCTCGTGCCTGTCTTAAGTGCGGTGGGGTGGGAGGTTGGGTGGTGCTGAACTTAAGGCGGGCACGAGGCGGCTTGATGGGAGTAGCAGCCCAAAGGGAAAATAAAAACTGAACTCCCTACCAAAAGACAAAAAAAAAACAAACAAACAGAACTTTCGGTTTGCATGTTTCAGTTTTTGCAATTGAAACTGAACGAAAGAATGAACACATATTATAAAATGCCGACATGCGGCTGCACACAGTCTGCGGCTAATAACAATCGTAACATCTGAACACAGAGTTATGTCCTGAAAAACGCCATGAAAAATAACAAACGCTACCGCCGAAGTTAGCGTGCCATACAAAATATGAAAAGACAAAACGTGTTGCACAAAGAAAGGTTTCACAATGAACCATATGCACAATAGAAAAAAAAAAACACTGCCTGATAACAAAAAAATGATGCTAATGCGACACAAAGTAATGGAACGTGTCAAAACTACATGATGCGGTCATGCCTCTGAACAGTAATAAACACAAAAAGTCAATAGCGTCCACCGCATCTCCGTGGGTCGTGGTACGTCGCTCGCCACGCATGAGTCTGCTCGGCAGATCCTCCTCTCCGCCAGCCTCCTCTGCAACGGCATCAGTATGATCATCGTCGACCACCGTGATGCCATCCCGTCTGATCTCCCTCTGTGACGCCGATATGAGTGTGTCCGTGCGACGTCAGCCTGGCGTCATCTCCAACCCCTCGCCTCCTCTGGTATCACCCTCCCGATGTGACGCTCGTAGATATATTGGCGTCTGTGTCCTGGGAGGCCCCACCACATCTGCCCCGAGGATTTGTCACACCTCCCTCAATCCATGAGTCAACACTCGTGAACCAGGCGCTGCACATCCACCTCCGCCCACACCCTCAAAGGGAGCATCTAACCAGCCACGACGCTCGAACCCAGCAGCATGCACCTCCCTTGTCGATGAGGTGGGCGAGCGCCGCCTCCCCAACCTTGGCTGCTTCTTCCTACTAGCCACCATCAACTTCCTCATGTGGCTCCACGGCACGTCAGTGCGCCCGAGTAAAGATGCACCTCTCCACGCTCTCGTGGCCTGTCCGCCGCTGAGGAAGGTGTAGACGACTGTGTCCCACGATCTCGTGCCACACTGGGAGGGGATTGTGCCGCACTAACTCCCACGGCACCCAGCGCCACCGAAGCATCTGAGGGCGGTGTGGGGCTGGCAAGGCCCCATGAGGCAGACTGCACGCGTGGTAAACTCCATTAGCTTTCTATGAGCCGATCCTCGCTTCACGTCTCACCTCTGTGGGATCCTTCGCAAGGCACGCGCCCAACTCATCAGCAGTCATCGCACCGAACATCATCAAACTGCCTCGGGGCTGCTCTACATACGGAGTGCCTTGCCTCTCAATGCCCTGTGGACGACGAGCGAACAAGCGGTGGCCGACGTTGGAATGCAACGTTGGCCCGTGCAATGGACGATGTGCGGCCGTCGATCTGTCCCCCCTGAATGGGCGCTGGCACCTCAAACTCTCGAGAACAAGTGATCGACACCGGTCGGTGCGATGGATGTCATGACACGTACTCCCTCCTCTGCGCCTGAAGCAGGTATAGTCGTGTACGAACGTGCGTCCTCGTGAGGATCCTCACGTGTCCTCCTCCAGCACCGCACGAATCGGGAATGCCTCTCTCCCCGCTGGCGGAAGACTCGCGTGAGTCATGTCTGCCACATCAACCTCCGCGTCTCTTGCCAGCACCTCTCGTGGATCCTCCCAAACAGTCGTGTCTTTACAATCCACCACCTGTGCAGCCGCCGCCTGAGCGGCATCAGGCTCTGCCACTGTTTGACACCCAATCTCTCGTCATTCCGTGCCTCTGCTACGTAAGCTGCGTCTCCATGATATGCCTCTGTCACGATGAATGCACTGACGATATCAGGCCCGTGTGTCTCAATCTCTCTCTCTCTCTCTATCCGCATGCCAAGTGTCACCACCTGCCTCCTCAACGAACCCGCGAGACTCCAATGTCTGCGTGTGCGCAGTGGCACCTCCACCCTCCAGCACCACATAGTCCACGACCATGTCACGCACATTCTCGTGAAAGCTATGCACTCCTGCTCCCGCAGTCGCCAACATCACCCTTCCCACCGTTTTTAGCTCACGTCTAGCCTCCATGTCACGAGCCATTGCCTGTATGCTCGGGTCGACATCGGCTAGGACCTTTACCCTCGCGACCTCCAAAGGACGCCGGACAGCATCCAACCTCTCTAACATCGTGTAGACAAAGGCGAATCGAGTCTCGCATGAGTACAACAACCCAAGATGGCGACTCTCTCTCCTAAACAGGAAATGCGCTCGGCTGTGCATTTTTATAAAATGCACTACCGCTCTCGCCCGCTCAATGATATCCATGCACCACGGACCCGTTGTAGAGTCTGTACAAATTGCGTTGACCCTGTTTGAACGAAAGTCACGGAAGACTAACATCCACCTCCCCAACACTGCCAGCGCATCGTCGGACTCACCCTCCCTGTTCAGGGTGCTCCACATCATCACTCCTCGCGCACCAGCTGCTGCTAGGAAGTTCACGATGGGTCTCCCATCGTGAGACTTCCTGCCGTCAAACAGGGTCGTGGTCCCTGTGTGGTTAAATGTCTCTTGTATATCCTTAAGACCGGCAACAACGTCGATTGCCATCTCGACCACTGTATCCATTGCTGTGACTTCGTTTTCAAAAGGCCAAATCACGGGCACTGAAGGGGGTTTGTCCCTGAAGTGTGTTGTGTACGCCTTTGATGTGGGGCTCCGAAAGATGTTGAAAGCTAACTGGTTGCTGTACACGAAGCGCAACCACAACTTTTTGTGTTTCGCAGCCCCGTCATACCCAAGCGCCTCTTTTATCGCTGGCTGCCTAGTCTTCTTCCCCTGCTGCATCATGGCCCCGTCCATATCCTTCCTCTTCCCTAAATTTGAACCACCCTCATCAACGGGCAATTTGCCTGGCCACTGCGAGTATGTGCCCGCATCCTTCCCGCCGCCCTCTTCCTTGCCATCCAAATCGATGACGTCATCGCCCTGCTGTCGTGCCCCAACTAGGGCTCTGGACGTCGCCCTCGCATCATGTGGACCTATGCCAGGAATCCTATCGTCCACCCAAGCACCGTGAAACTCCTCGTACTTGCGGATTCATTCCAACCACTTTCCCTCGAACATGTACCCGCTCGTGTAATCCATGTCCATAAGAGCTTCGTCAATCACCTGTTATCAACCCTTCACGCTGCAAAAATGTCACGCCGCCCCATGCCTGTTCCCCTGCCACTCGTTTCGCACATAACACGCACCGAAGCATCCTCTGACCACGGAGCTTCTCAAAAAGCTCCTGGCTAACAAGCACGTACTTGTACACGCTGTTCGAATTTCTCATGCTCACTTGCGTGTCGTCGCTGGCCTGGACGAAGGTGTTGGCTTGCCTCCTCGGCATTTTCGCAGTCCCCCATTAGCACGTACTGACCATCGTTCGCAAGCCCACTGTCAACCGGGCCCCCACTCCCCCACCCGCCGGCGTGTCGGGCAACCAGCCGCCAAATGCTTAAACCTTGCAAAAAACCCCACAACCACTCGAGGCCCTCTGCCAAGTCCGCAAACTGGCACCCCGGGCCCAAACCCCCCACCGGCCCCAACCCCTCTGGCCGACAGGCCGCACTGCAGCAACAGGGTGCTGCGATGGCAGCCTCCCCGCCCCCCAATCGCCGCTCTCCGCCCCCTTGCTCCGCCTTTGCAGATTTGAGTGCGCGCTCAAAAATTTAAGCGTACGCTAAAAAATTTCGGCACACGTGTTCCCGCCCGCCATTCGCGGCGTTTTCGGTTGTCGTAGTCGTCATCGTCGTCGTCGTCTTCTTCTTCGTGGTCCCACCCGCCGTTTGGGACCCCGCCACTCTCTCTCTCTCTCTCTCTCTCTCTCTCTCTCTCTCTCTCTCTCTCTCTCTCTCTGTGCTTCTTCGTGGGGCCTTCAGCTATGGCCCTCTCTCTCTCTCTCTCTCTCTCTCTCTCTCTCTGTGCGCTTCTTCGTGGGGGCTTCAGCTATGGCCCTCTCTCTCTCTCTCTCTCCGTGCGCTTCAGCAACCGAGCGTGCACAAATGCGAACGAGTGCACGCTCATCCGCGCAGCGCTCAATAGCACGGTGTGGAACTGTTTTTTATTTTTTTATTTCTAGGGAGGACATCCACCCGTCGGCAGCAGCCGAACTCCCTCCCGACAGCTCCCCCGCCGCCTGGGACCCCGCACACCCCCTACCAACCCTCCGCACACACCGCACAGGCCCTCCTGCAAACACGCTCGAGGTGCTCAAGGCGCGCTCGAACGCGTTTTTGAGCAGTGCAAAAAAACTCGAGCGCTGCCCCTGCGCTGATTGAGTGCGTGGTTTCACAGGTTACAGGGCAAATGCCCCAGCACCAACCAGGGTTGTTCTGGCATCGGCTAACCTAGAGCACCAAACAAGTCCTGTGAATATTCATTAACAACTTTTGACCCACATCAATCAAGCACCCACATTCCAATCAACATTAAAAGCCTAACCGAAACCAAATATAGCTTTTCTAATTATACTACCAGGCCTACCCGGCCTCGGGCCCTTAACATGCTAGGCTACACAGTAGCACAACCTGCCCCGGCTCCGATTAGCTACCACACTCTACGAATCCCTAGATCTCTCTACCAGGCCTCACGTTCCTGTGAGAACAGGTTACGCGGCTACGCCACAACACCGGCCAGCATCCTTCTGGCATCAGCCAACCATGCACCTTAGTCATCGCAGCTTCGCGTAGCGTCGGATATGCAGTTAATGTCACTGGAATCCTGTACCCAGTTTCTCTATAAGTTCAAAGAAGCTAATAATACCTGATGATCAATTACTAGAAGAAAAGATGCTGCTAAAAAAAAAATAGATGGTAGAAAGTTGCTCCCCCTCTCACCCTATCCCTCTGCTCCCTCCACCGGAAAGGACCATCCTAATACAGACACTCCTCATTGGCCCCAGCGTGGTACAGACACACTCCCTCCCCCTCCCCCTGGTTCCCACAAAGGCATCCAGTTCCCGCCCAAAGTATACCTCTTCCAACCCCTTACCCTTATCTGCCACCACGGGGACATGATGCCAATATACATCTCCCCCAACCCCAGAACAGAGCATCCCCTGCAATCTGCTCCCATCCCCTCCAGGACATTCACCTCCCACCTTGTGATGGCCCCCCCTGCAGGGTGTAGCTCTCCCCCTAAAACCAACCCACCTAGCTGCCAGAAATAATTGCTTTGACCGTCTGATGCACAAAGAGGAGAATCGGAATTTACTTTCTACGAAACTTTTCAGCCAGCAGCCAGCAGCCAGCAGCCTGCACCATCTCCATCGCCTTTAAGCTCCTGTGCAAAGTTGTAGGTGTGGAAGGGACCACACCATTAAGGGATTTGAGTAATCACCCCGTTATTGGGTGTGAAAGTCTCACTCTGCTCTTTATTGTAGCGTATCTTCGTTTTTTCCGTTGTCTTTTTAAAAGGAGGACAGCCTTTAGATATCATAAGGGAACTGACTGGACACAGGCAATTCAGAATGATTTTATTGACAGGCATCACCAAAAGGAAAACAAGTCATACTTGTGGCGCATCACGTGCGCACCACTCGCGCACATTCGCCTCGCTGCGAATTGCGCAAGTGTTGCACCGCATCGGCCAAAATTGAACCCCCCCCCCCCCAAAAAAAAAGTCCAAAGGGGGGCTGAAACAAAGTTCACCCACGCAGCCAAAATTATAAGATGAGTCGTGCAATTTTTTTTTCAAGGCCACGCTCACGTCCCCAACTGTGTATTGTCAGGTTAGTCTGGTATCTGGATGATATCTTCTGTGTATCTGGGGCTTTTCCGAGGTCCAATACAGTCATGATGAGGATGCATCTGTCGAACGGTTGGTTTGCTCTCCCTATTTCTAGAAATAGAAAATCTGAAAACGACAAAACTGACAGCTGTGATGGTCGTGCATGCAAAATAAAAATGTATCTAAATTGAGAATGCGTAAAGATATACCCACCATGTTGCTATCTTTTCTAGTCACTAGGGGCTATTAGGGCTTACCTGTCCCTGAATCTGTGGTGAGGGCCGGTTGTTCTGAAGTCCCTGCGCCATCCCTTTTGTCCCTGAGCATCGAACTCTGTCATAACACAAAGAGCGCCCTGTTTAAACGACGACACGTGTCCAGTGACTGTTGTAGGGCGTCGCTCCACTACTCTCCACATGCACAAACGGCAAAAAATATGGTGGTAGATCTTTCCATGTTCTAGTGGAAGACTCGTTCTCATTTTGGACATTTGGGTGAGCAGCAGCGTCCGGACTCTTTTACTTTTCTTATGGACGGAATTGCAGTCGTATACATCAAGGTCCAGACAGTCGGATACAAGCTTGTGTGAGTCGCCCTCTGAATGCCCCTGTTCATCAACGGGCCGCGGGCTTTAGGCAGAAAAAGACAAAAACAAGAAGTAAAAACAATGGGTGGCGTATCAGGATGAACAAAATGCGCCCTGCCTCCAGAACCCGTTGTGTCCGTCTATATGGGCGTTTGTTCGGCTCGATAGTGACAGTGGACTGGCATCACCAAAAAGGGCCATGCCCTGCAGTTAGACTTGTCGCCACACAGTGGTCAAACCTACAACGGTATTTTTCTGACGTTCCCCGAATGTTCCGTGCGGCATAACACTTCAATAAAATATAAGTTCTCCTGAGCAATTGCGTGGATATTTTTAAAATTTAGTAAAAACTACTTTAAAAAAAGGATTTAAAAATATTTTCCATGCAATAACTCAGCTCAAATCATGCAATAGTGGTGGGCTATGGATCGCCATTTCGGTCTAAGGGCCGGAATAGGGGTCACGGCCACACCCAAGTCATGAAAACTGCCTGAACGAAGGCCTGCCACTGTGGGTACCCGAAGCAACGCCTAAGACTGGGCTTCAGAGGCCCAATGTGCGACAGTTGACCGTGGAAACTCAAAGGTCAACAGAAGCTCGGAAATTCAGGGTCACGTGTCAAAGTCAACATGGACCCAGCCCAGGCCACCGATCAGACACACACAGTTGGCTGTTTGCAGGTATCTGTCAAGAATCAAGTCCAAGTGGGAATCTGCAACTGTATGGGATCCAGACCATTGGCTGCGAGTAGATCTGGGCCATCGTATCTGAGAGACCAGAGGCTGGTCAACCGGAGTCAACGCTATATGTTGACCCAGCCTCTGCTGACCGACATTCGGTCTTGCACTTGCTGCTCAACACTGGCTTGACGCTCGCTGGACGCTTGCTTGACGCTGGCATTACACTGTTGTGATGACACGAGACTGCTACTGCTTGGGTGCTGGCGCCTGCTCTGCCTACGGCACCAGCTGGACATTTGATTATGCTGATGTGGCTCTCGCCACACTGTCTACGACATTGATGAGATGCTGGCGAGGAGGAGCAGGATCAGGGCCGTGAGATTGGTTGATCGAAAGGAAAGCTTACCCGTCTGTGTTGGCGTCGACATTGCGCATTGCTGTTCGTCTTCAGAATAGTCTGCGCCGCATGCGCCATGCTGAGATCTGTTCATTGTCAGAGCGTGTCAGAGGAGACTGTCTGCTGATGTGGCGAGCAGCAGCTGGCCGAAGGAGGAGTGGGTTAGTGAGGGAGATCTATCTGCTGAGCTGATGGGTACTTTCTCTTCCGCCCTCTTAAGTCTTTTCCCCCTCCCATTTGCCTCTTCTCTGGTCACAAAAACATTGGGCTACTTGATTACATGTACGATTTCAGAGACATTGAAACTACACTACGACATTCTGTGTTCTGTCATTGACGAGCTTTCCATCTGACTGGGTTCATTGCACCCAACACAGGGGGTACGAAAAACGTCATCCCCAAAATTTAGATGTTACCAAAAAAAAACCATTCTCGGGGACCAATTAAAAAAAAAAAGAAAAAAAAAAAAGAAAAGAAAAGAAAAGAAATAGGCTCTGATCAGTTTAATATCTGATCTGTGGTCCATCGGACCACAATAAAAAAGAAATAGGCCGCCGAGCTGCGGAACCCCACAGCTTGAATCACTGGGAAGGCACATACCTGTTCCATCCTCCCTGGCAGGGCGTCTAACATTCTTGGATCATTCTTCCCTTCGCCATTCTCACTCAAAAATGTGTCGCGCCACCACCGAGCTTAGCTCAGTTAGTACGCCAGTGAAGTGTTGAGATACAGACTGAAGTTTGAATCCAGATGATGGGAACTAGAGGAATGAAATCAAATATATTTGAATTATACTTCTGAATTGCCTGGGGCCAGTCACTAGAATGACAATACCCCAAGGTCCTCCACCCTTAAAAAAAGAAAAAGGTGTCATGACAATCTTACACTATGCAAATCCTGTGTCCACGATTCCATGATTTTTTTTTCCCTTCTTTTTTTTAACTCAGAACTTTGCGGGAGTGGAAAGTGAAGAGGAGGAGAAACTTCCAAAAAAAAGGAAAAGCAAAGCAAATCAAAACAAAGAAGAAAAGCAAAGCGAAAGTGACCAAGAAGGCAGCTTAATACTGACAGAAACAAAAGACAACGGTCAAAATCAGAGCACCGGAGAAGAAGTCTCCATTTCGCAGAGCTCTAATCATCACAAGCTCCATTCAGCAGAACGAATCCACTCTTTACGAGCCTCCAAGTGGGTGGCTCGTGCCTCTTCAATCTCTCTCTCTCTCTCTCTCTCTCTCTCTCTCTCTCTCTCTCTCTCTCTTGCGCGCGCGCGCGCACACACACACACACATACATGTCCGAGCCCACTGACTCTCTGCTGTGCCCACTCCCATACATGGAAGGAGGAAGAGACACTCGCTATGAAGCAGTACAACGAAGCGCATTACTGTGTGTGTACATCACACGGAAATATTCTCTAATTCTCCTCCCCTATTTCACCCCCCTCCCCCCAAGGCCTAATCCAGGCCATTCAAAATTTCCAGCACCATGAATTTCTGTTCTATTTATGTACCTCAGTGAAGCAAGGAGCGGCACACCAAGGTTACTTCCCACTGTGAACTGTATCAGGTGCCATCCTGCATCGTCAATTCCATCCATTTCCCTCGCGCGTCCAAGCAGATACCTCCTCTCCACAGAGAGTAGGTTTTATCCTCTCGTCTCTTGTATTGAAGAGACACTTGTAGAGCAGCAAAAGAAACAAGCGCATTATTGTGCACACACAACACACAGGAATATTCTCTAATTCTCTTCCCTTTCCCCCCTTCCCCCCCCCAACCCCCACCTTTCCTCTCCCCTCAAAGGCCTAATTGAGGCCGTTCAAAATTTCCGACACCCGGAAGTTACCGGTCTTTTGATCTACCTCAGTGAATTGAGGAGCGGCACACCAAGGTTACTTTCCACTGTGCACTACGACAGGTGCCGCGGCCTACTCCCAGCTTCTACGATTGTGACCGGTTCCCTCACACATTCAACTAGACACCTTCTCTCCGCAGAGAGCAAGTTCTTTCCTCCCGTCTGTTGTGCCTCTTCACACCACCAAGAACTCAATCGTCTCCAGTAGCTGGCAATGCCCCAAACTCTTGCCTCCCCTCCCTTGCGGCTCTTCACACCACCTACACCCATGTCAATCGTTTCGTCTTCGGTAGCCAGCAATGCCAGAGCTAAAGATTGTGCAGTCCATCCTGCCTGCCCAGACCTTGAGCCAATTAGCCTCAACTCGATAAAAGCTCCATCCACCATATCGAAAGACTGCTGTAGACATGACTGACTGGGCTTTGAGAGACAACCAAGGAATTTTAAAACGAAGGTTCCGATTACCTTTTTGGAGGTTCAGATTACCTTTGCGATATCCTCACAGCTTTCCGGCAAGCTTGTCCATCCAAAACTTCAGCTGCTCAGCTACACAATCCGCACCAGTTGAGCCGTAGGACCGGAACTTGCTGATCGAGTTCTCGACACCTAGGAAGGAGTACACATCCTCCTCAAAAATCGGGTTGATCGCTCCGAACTCTTCCAGCGAAAGTCCTTTCAGCTCCACCTTTTTCGCGACAGCCAGAGCCACAGCATGTCCGACCACTTCATGTGCCGACCGGAACGGCATACCCTGCAAACAAAGACATGTGTGGAGATTGTGGTTAAACTCCTAGTTATGTGGAGATTGTGGTCACCGTTAAACTCTAGTTATGTGGAGATTGTGGTTAAACTTTTGTTATGTGGAGATTGTGGTTAAACTCTAGTTATGAGGAGATTGTGGTTAAACTCTAGTTATGTGAAGATTGTGGTTAAACTCTAGTTAAGTGGAGATTGTGGTTAAACTCTAGTTGTGTGGAGATTGTGGTTAACCTCTGGTTATGTGGAGATTGTGGTTAAACTCGAGTTATATGTAAAGCTGATGCAAATGCAGTCAGGGCAAAAAACAATGGTTCCCGGGTTTTCACTCTCTACCTTTTTTTCCCAAGAACCAGCCATGGCATTTATTAATTACCACCCCAGACAGGGTGATCCCTACTCAGCCCCACTGCTGTAGCCATCACCGTCTTCCCCCGAACATAACACATGCCTTGTATTCCAATTTTCGAAAAAGAAATTGATGATTCGAATAGAATGCACATGCGTTGCATTTGAATAGAAGGGCTGTCCGAATAGAATGCACATACGTTGTATTTGAATAGAAAGCAACCTATGCATTGTATTTGTTTACAACGCATATGCACTGTATTTGGGGGAAGACGGTAGCCACCCAGAACATCAAAAACCTCTATCAATGTGATACTTCGGGCATAGGGGGCATATGCTCACACTAGGACGCTTCAAACTCAAGCTAATTGCTGTAAAAGATTCATCCAGCTCTGGCCGTAGTTCCAGTTAGGTACATTCACGAAAGTCCTAGTACGGCCATGCATACCCTTAATTGTCCTCCAACATACTTTCTTCATGGCATAACTTTCTCTAGCTTTTCCCCTGCTTTTCTTCTCTGTTTTTTCCCCTTTTCGAACACTCTATTGCTGTCTTTTCAAACATCTCATTCAGCTATTCATCCTGATTTCCCACTTGCCTGCATTTCCAAGCAGAGACCAATCTGTAGTTAGATAAGTTAAATACGTCGAAACAAGATGAAAAGGAGCGTGCGTGGGTAGCTATTGTATCACTTTTTGACTTGCCGGTGGAATAGGAACCGGACTGATGCTCCCCAGAGTGGATAAGGAGGCGGGACCGTAAGGTTCCGTTTTTCTCAACAAAAAAAAAGAAAAAACAAGAGTTCAAATAAGTTTAAATAATGGATAACCAGGGATTCCACCTCCCATCCCAGCAGAACTCTGCTTGCACTCGTCCTCTCACATCTATCTTTGGGTATACTCACTCCAAGACTATCCTAGATGCATATGACCACAATTCCGGTCTGTCCTGCATGTATCTCATCGCAATTACATCCACAGAGGAATCAAAAAGTGCTGCTGTGAGTGAGCCCTTATCGAATCAGTCAGCAGCACACCAGGTAGGATAAAGAAAGACAAGAAGACCTAAGACAGAACTCGGGTTACGATCCTCCTCCTTTCTATGCCTCAGTGGGTCAAGCAACAGTACACCTGCACGCATAGAGAATTCAAGTAGCAGTCCTCCTCCCTCTAGCTCAGTGATTCAACCAGCGGCACACCAACAGTGACAGACATGGCAGGAGAGAAAAAGAAGAAACATGGAGTCCTTTCACCGAAACCACAGGGGAGGGAAGAACCAAGGAAATATGATATCTGGTTGTCACGAAAGAAGCCTGTGGTCACAAAGAAGCCATCATCTGGGTCAGACTATGCAGCCAAACTGAGTGAGACTGTGTGATCCAGGTGGCAAAATACCTAAAGGCTGGTGGATCATCGATGCAGCAAGAGACCGTATGAAAGAGGCAGTAGGAAGACAGGAGGGACAACGAGAGGGTTGGGCCAAGGGAAGGGAGGCCGAAAGGGAGGAGAAGCAGGGAGAAGAGGAGGGAGAGGGAGGGGGAAAGATTTGCAAAAGGGGGAGGGGGGGGGGGGGGAAAGGGAGAAAGGGGAGAGAGGAAGAGGGTGTTGGGGAACAGGAGCAGGAAAGAGGTGGGTTGTGATGATATGTCTCGTACTAAGCGCAAGCTCCCCTTGGAGAAGGAGTGGTCAAGAGAATGTAGGCAGGTAGAAGGGGCCTGAGAGGGGGAACAGAGAAGGAAGGTGGGAAGGAAAGGCGGGGAGGCGGGCGGAGGCAGGGGGAGGGGAGGAGAGGAAGCGAGGAAGGGCAGTTGCGTATTTCAAATCTGTGCGTGGGTTCAAACCCCAACAACGACTATTGATAGCAAACTTCAAAATATTAATGTGTGTGTGTGTGTGTGTGTGTGTGTGTGTGTGTGTGTGTGTGTGTGTGCGTGCGTGCGTGGGTGGGTGGGTGGGTGTGTGTGAGGGAACAGATGCCTCCTTTTAGGAAAGGCTGGGATTCTTTGTGATCACATTTTCTGCAGACCAAGGGAATGCTCTGTACGACCTGACACATCTGGGGTTTTCCTAATTTGGAAGAAGTTGCACAACCTGAGTTCTTGGGTGGTGGCATGAAAGCAAGCAAAGAGAGATCCCCTTTTTTTTTTCCTTTTTTTTTTTTTTGCAGTAAAGGGCGACGGCCTTTGGATATCATCTTTGAACTGACCAGCCGGCCCCAGGTAATTCAGAATGAATTTATCCAGGTCATTTTGAATGCATCTGGATTCAAACTCAGGTCTGTGTTTCAGCAGGTCATTGGTGTACCAAGTAACCACCGACTGAGCTAGGCCCGTTGGTAGATCCCTTGCTTTTGGACATTTGGTTCATACTGCAGGACCAAGAAACACACCTTGTAAACCAAGTAGTCCGCCAGAGTGGTGGCGTCGAGATGACCAGCTGGGAGGGACTTGGACAGTCGTTCCACGTTGAAGGTGATGTTCTGAGCAAACTCTCTTGTCACTTCCAACATTCCAAGAATAGTTTCCACACTGTCAAATAAAGGCTCTTTATCCTCCTGGAGGTCACGGTTATAGGCCAGTGGCAATCCCTTGCAGAGTACGAGCACTGTCGTCAGATCCCCCACCACTCGTGCCGACTTCCCACGCACCAGCTCTGCCAAATTTCATACAGGGCAACATGTCATATCAAATTTCAGGAGTTCAATCCGATTTCAGGAGGACCATTCCATTTCCATGTACTGCCCACAACAGACGCCATACTTCCTTTTCCTTTTCTATTTTTTCTTTTTTTTTCTTCCCCATTCAAGCTTCGGTGATAGTATGCAAACTTCAATATAGAGGACAAAATGCCAAACCTGCAAATGCTGCCACCCAAAACAGATAAGTGCAATAACCCACGCAGTTGCAGCCAGAGACAGTTTTAGAGTCTTTGCAAGGGTCATTCTCTTTCACTCTGTTTTCGCTGAAAATACTATGAGGTGTAAACTGTGAACACAACCACCTCTTTTCCACCCATGCGAGTGCATCCAAAATTGAAACAGCTTTGCCTCCATAGCAAACAGCACGAAGCACACTAAAACCATTATGCATTGCGTTTTCCTTCTGCAGTACTTCCTTTGCGTTCTTTACTTCGGCTTTTTCGGGATTTCCTCTTTTGTTTCTTCTTGTAGCTCCCCTTCCACTATGCCTCTCACATACAAGGCTCGCTATGTTGAAATTACTGTATGTGGCCTCCCCGTGCATGACCGTAGGTTGATCTGACGAGTCCTAGGGGTCCGATGCTTGTGTCCATGTGCTAACTCTCCGAAGGGTAGATCCGTAAATAGCTTCACGAACACGGCATGGGCATCTGAAGGAAGATCTGGACCCTACTTGGCCAAGAAGGGGGACGATGATGCATATACAGGATGACATGTCCGCGCAAGTTTCTGGAGGACGAGTCCTTAGTACTGCACACCGATGACATCTCTCGTAGACGACAACATGGTTGGAACAAACCTCAGAAGGATCCTTCATTGCCATGCTCCCTGCAGATGCTGCCACCCATAACAGATGAGCATGTGAAAGAAGATCCAGATTCCAGATTATACTTCATGAATAAGCTGGATGATGGACGATACATATTAATGAACGTCGGCGAGAGCATGGTCAATTGCACACACAATGTCGTCTGACCCCTCTGCTTCTTATATCTACGAGGACATCCACGAAAAGGCACATATCCACACGAGCAGCAACACCCACTTACCCACTGCAAAAAGCCCAGGCACAAGGTGGCAGGCAGGCGGATGAGCACGCGTGCTGCGGAAGAAGCTGAGAGACAGACAAGTCCCTTCTCACCTGCCAGGACTGCATGCCTCTGCTCTACCTACTGCCAGGGTCATCTATCGGCGATCAGTGTTAGCAGACTTCCTACTATTCAAAACAACAAGTTATTCGGCGCGCCGCGGCCACACCTGTGGTCAAAAGCTCTCAACAATGGTGGTACCAATGCACAGTTCCAGAGGGGGAAAGAGAAAAGGAAAAAAGAAACCCAAGGTGATACTAAGTTTGTTGGGCGGCACTGCGTGAGGTGGGTCATAGGATGTGGACCGGATAGTACTATGTCGGGTGCCCGGTACTGTACGGGGTAGATGTGCAATGCTCCGTGAGCCGGGCGATACAACGACCCACAATCACGTCCAGAAATAAGCTAAAAAGTCCTCGTGCGAGCATGCCCTAAGAAACAACTCCGGAGGGGCCTGCTATGTGCTTGTATTCTAACATCCCAGATTCGGGCTCCGCCCCAGATTCAGGGTGATATTATGTAGCCTGGATGATACTAGTGGGTTTGGTGGCAGTAAGTGTGCGGGTCATACTCTGTGGACTTGAGGTACTCTGTGGTTCCAGTGATACCGTTGGTACTCCGTGGTCCCGACGATACCTTACGTTGGGTGCTGCCAGGTGGGGCGGATCATCGTATGCCAGGTGTGCTGGATGGTACACATGACATAGAGGCCAAAAAAAAAACAGGCACAAAAAGAAGTTGAAAAAACAAAACAAAACAAAAAAAAGCCCATGTGGCCAAATGGTACACCCGTCAACTCTTCTTAAGGGTCTACTCACACTTGCTCTATCTTAAACGTATCTGACTTCATTTCTGAACATATACGACCGCAATTACGTCTATAAAGTCCTAGTGTGAGTACGCCCTACGGAGACATCCAACTCCAGTCCCTGTGTACTTGTATTCGAACATGAAGCGAAAAACGACGATGGCCTGGACAAAAACCGAGCACGTGGACCGACTTTTTCTGATTTTTGCTGATCCTTTCTGAGACCTATCTGAACTCAAGTTGTATAAAGGACGCTGTATCCGATTTCCAGCAGGTGCAGCTCCCCACAAATAGAAAGGAGCCATCTGACGGCGGATACCACAGGAGGATGCTCATATCACCCTCTGCAGTACTCCCCAAGGACGTTTGAAAAAAAAAGAAACGAAGAAGGAAAGGAAAGAAAAGAACGAAGAAAAACAAGACGACCAAGAGGGAAAAAACAGCTTCACTGCTGGCCGTGAAAAACAAAGAGCGACGAAACAGAAAAAAATTGAGCGAGCCGCCAAACAGGGAAAAGAAAAAACAACACGCAACAAAAAAACCAGCTCCTCTTCTGGCAGTCCGTCTGTGGTTCAATGCGTCCCTCTGCGCGTGATTCCAAAACGGCTTGGGATGCGTGATTCCGAGTCGACAGCCGCCAAGCAGTCAGGTGCATCCTGCTCCGCACGTGATTCCAAGTGCATGAAATACTACCGAGTGTGCCCCAAGTAAAAGCTCACCTCCACCCAGATCCCACGTCCCGACCTGGTTGCTAACAGCCGCATGTTTTCTTTTCCATGCAGATTGTGCTCCTATAGGGCCCCTCGCTCCACTACTCTCGACATTCACAAAAGACAGAAATCATGGTGGTGTATCTTTCCATGTTCTAGTGGAAGATTCACTCTCGTTTTGCACATGTCGAGAGTACTGGAGCCAGGCCCATATATATGCAAACATCCACGAAATACATCAAAACGGCCAAACGCGCCGCGACCAGATTCGACCCTCTCATCTGCTGCTCGCCGGACAGCACTAAGCAACCTCCGAACATCGGCCCTGGAGAGCGTGCTGGGCCCATTCAACAGCCTCTTCTGGGACACGCTGAACCCAGCGGAGAGCGTCTTACGGGACCCGAGCGCAATTTAGGAGTTAAAACTTAAAAAGAGTTCAAACAATTTCAAACAAAAGATCCTTATTACTTTAAAAACAACAAAAAGTCGGAAGCCCCTAACATTAGGGGACCTCACAGGATTCGAGCCTTCTGACCGTTTAACCTGCAGATCCAAGGGCCAGTAGTAGTCTACCATCCATCCACAAAGCGGCAGATAGGTACACTATTCATTCCTCTTCAAGAAGACAACTGCATCTTGATCCAAGTGTTCTCCCCTGAGATTAGCCCATCCAATCATTGGGTATTCAACCATTGCGGGTTACCTTCTTCCCCCGAATACAACGTACGGTCATTTTAGCTGTATTTAGACTGAAAGATACCCAAATACAGCTATAGCGACCGTATGTTGTATTCGGGGGAAGAAGGTAGTTGTTAAACTGAGATGCAGGTTATCTCAAATTAATCACGAGTACTCGTTATTCTGATTTTTTTTTTTTTTTTTTTTTTTTTTTTTTTGGTCGTGCCCTGAGAGATTCTAACTCTCGCAGGTTAAAAAATTTGGATCATTTTTCAATTTTTATGTGCCGTCCTTGCACAGGGGGCATGCTAAATCTTCTCCCTATCGTTCCAATTCTGATGGATGAGAGTTTTTAACTTTGGCTCACTATCTAGAAGGGTTTTTGGTAACCTTTTTTTTTTTTTTTTTTTTTTTTTTT